AAAGAGTCTCTCTTTCTCTCTGGGTGCGTGTTGTGAATCTTCCTTCTTGGCAGATGTGATATTTTTCTTACCTTCCGTCAAAATCAACATCTCTTTTATCCTCCCTTCTCAATCATTCGCTCTCACTGACTGAATTTGTTTCCGGCTTTCAATCATCTCGCAGTCGCTCTGAGTTGTCCTGCATTTCATTCACTCTTCCCCCTCCCTGCATCCCTCTCTCTCTCTCTCTCTCTTCACAAGCTGTTTCAACTTCTTTCCTCCTGCGTAAATTTGAGAATTTCACATCACATACACATGGGGCTCAAACCACAACCTAAAAAAAATACAATTTGAAGGAGTATTACACTGCATTTCTCAAAAATGGCAAATCTGAGTTACCATCAGCATGTAAAAAAAACAAAACGGTTGTTCATGCCTTGAATAATTTAACAGACTATCATTACACAGTTAGAAAACAATGTGCACATTGGGTTTCTTGCTAAACCAGACAGAATTACACTGAAAACAATGGGCCTCATTAATGAACCATAAGCAGAACGAATTTCTGTGTAAACTGTGACCGTTAATTGTCATTTGTTTCTTCATCAGAACAGATTTAGAGAAATGTAGCATTGCATCACTTGCTCATCAATGGATCCTCTGCAGTGAATGGGTGCCGTCAGAATGAGAGTCCAAACATCACAATAATCCGTAATTCACACCACTCCAGTCCATCAGTTACCAGTTATGAGTAAAAATATAAAAAAATGTAATTTTTTGCTAAACTCTCCTCTCTAGTGTACATTTTACTCACTAGTTTATGGACACTGAATGGATTTTCTGAGGTTATGTGACAGTGTTTTCATGCTGCTGTCTTTCCGCGGGTGAAACATTCATTGAGTAATTACATGAGACACTAATCATTCAGAAAGTTGTAGTGTATCTTTCAACACACCCTTGGATGTTCATTCATGTTTATTTCACGCTAATTAGAAGCAAAGTGAGCCGTCACGCCACTAAAGAGCTCCAAAACTGTATTTATCGTTTGCAATTCTTAATAAAACTAAGAGAAGAGACTCTGTGTCCTATTATCAAAAGTAACCTGCTCTGTCTTGTCTGTCAGCACGTTGTCTGTTTGCTCTTTGCTCTGCTATGTTTTTCACTCCTTAAGAAAATGAATGTGTGGCGTGAGAGTTAGCAGAGGTTGGAAGCTCCACCGGACGAGATGAAGCGCAATGAGTTCAAGGCTAAAATAAATGCTTCTTTCAGTTTGATTAAACAAAGAAAATGAAATAGTAGCATATTATATTTTGGGGTGGCCAATCAGATGTCAGGGGTGTCCAGTGCCACAATGGACATCTACAGGTGCATCTCAATAAATTAGAATGTCGTGGAAAAGTTCAGTAATTCAACTCAAATTGTGAAACTCGTGTATTAAATAAATTCAATGCACACAGACTGAAGTAGTTTAAGTCTTTGGTTCTTTTAATTGTGATGATTTTGGCCAGTCAGGTAATCAACTCAAAACACCTGTAAAGGTTTCCTGAGCCTTCAAAATGGTCTCTCAGTTTGGTTCACTAGGCTACACAATCATGGGGAAGACTGCTGATCTGACAGTTGTCCAGAAGACAATCATTGACACCCTTCACAAGGAGGGTAAGCCACAAACATTCATTGCCAAAGAAGCTGGCTGTTCACAGAGTGCTGTATCCAAGCATGTTAACAGAAAGTTGAGTGGACGGAAAAAGTGTGGAAGAAAAAGATGCACAACCAACCGAGAGAACATTGAACTTTTGAGAAAATGAACTTTTTCACGACATTCTAATTTATTGAGATGCACCTGTATCTTGCTCCGCCACTGCCTAAGGGTGAGTACATTTTCAGCAAATTTAAATTTTTGGTTGAACTATTCACATCTGATTACAGCAAAGGTCACTTAAATGTTAAAATAAGGGGAATGAACAACACAATTACACATCCAATATCAGGCAATATACAGTATATACAAAAAGAACCAAAGATATTGTCTAATAATTGTTATGGCATATCAATTTACTAAAAGTGAACAAGAGAGTGGCTAACCGCACACTGATCCACTCAATACTGGAAAAGTCTACAAAAACATATTTTTTATTTTCTAAAATAAAAAGGATGTTTTTGTAGACTTTTCCAGTCTTGAGTGGATCAGTGTGTGTTTAGCCACTCTCTTGTTCATTTTCAAGTATCCCACTAGCTCTACGCACCTGCAGTAAAAATACTTTTTTTTTTTCCTGTTTGGAGCGCTACAATTTTCTCAAATATCAACTTACTAAGAAATTTGTTCTTTGTAAATGAGGCCCCTTGTGGCTTTAAAATCTATATGAATTTATTCAAGAATAGTTTCGTGAGAGATTTACACAAATCCATTCTGATTATGTTTCTTCAATGAGGCATTCATGATTTGTATTAATATTAGTATTTGTATGCAGACAAACCAAAAGGATTACAAAAGTAGGAGCTCTAAAACTGTTAACATATGAACACTGGCACAGTTTAGAGGAAGAATTACACTGGAGACTCAAAGCTCTATGGAAACTGAGTGGGTGGGAGAGTATTATCTGTTGGCTGTCAGCTTTTTATTCTGTGAACACTTTAAGCCTTTTATAGCTTTGTAATATAAAGGCCTCATGATGATAGAATTTCCAAACAATAACTTGGAATTATATTATGGCTTGACTTTCCCATATTAAGAGTTGAAGTGAGAAGCAGGGGATGTGTCATATGGCACTCTATCAAACTCATTCTATTTCTGCAGTATAGTCCAGGCATGTATACTGTGCACAGAATGCATTTTGTTTTTGTACACGTGGAATATGTGGCATATAAGCATATAAGAGAGCACACTATGAGAGATTTTGTGTTGATTTCAATCATTATGCATGTGGTTTTACAATCTTTAAAACATTTTTAAACAAAAGTAGGTCCAACATGCAAGCAAGGAAGCAAGCAAACAAACAAACCAACACATTTTTTAATTTTAGATAACACTGAATTAAATATAATGAGGTCAAGATAATGTAGCATATTTACTATGTAATTTATCAATGCATACTAGGGCTGCACAATTAATCAAATACGATTGTCATGCGCATTTTGATAGTAATGCTGGTTCTGTAATCAGCATCACGTGCTTTCAGATGGAGCAGAACTTACTACACAGAGCCGTATTTCACTGACAAGTTATGCAAAAAAAAAAAATCGCAGACGATTTTATTGCACGATTATGAAATCGAAGATATAATTCGCGATAATGACAGCTGTTTGCATAGCTTCTCAGTGAACTCCGACTCTGTGAAGTACAGGTGCATCTCAATAAATTAGAATGTCGTGGAAAAGAATACACGAGTTTCACAATTTGAGTTGAGTTACTGAAATAAACAAACTTTTCCATGACATTCTAATTAATTGAGATGCACCTGTAAATGCTGCTCCATCTGAAAGCATGTGAAAATACCACATTTAATAACATTTTTACTCCAAACTCACTTCACAACATCACAGTCGTGTTTGAAATAAATCCTTCTGTGAGATGATGTGGCTTCTTACACAGAATAAGGCACGCAACATATTTCATAGTATTTAAGCAGTGATAAAGGCATTGCAT